CTGCTGGGGAGGGCTGGGGGCCATGGCAGGGCAGGGGCAGGGGGTCCACGCTGCCTTTTGAAGCAGAGACAAAGCCTGTCTTGATATTTACGGCACGTGCAGGGGGGGCGTGGGGCGTGCGGGGCTGCGGGACAGATGGTGAGTGAAACAAAAAGGGAGGCAAGAATGGGAGCTGAACAGATTGGGAATTTCCTGCCCGTCCCTCTCCCCCATGCCCAAACACTGCTGGGGGCATGCGGGGAGTGGGACCGCCTTTCCCCAGTGGTCCCCCCAAAGTGTTCGGTCCCTTGGGGGGGACTGACCCCCAGCAGCTGCTCTAACCCCCAAGCTACGCATCTTCCTGGAGCTGGCTGGGCTAGCCCCCAAGCTACGCATCTTTCTGGAGCTGGCTGGGGAGACCCAAAATCCTGAGACCCCAAATCCCGAGACCCAAAATCCTGAGACCCCAAATCCCAAGCACTGAAATCCCATCTCCATTTCACTCCTAATGTGGAGCTGCGAGAGCAGGACCCCCCCCGTTCCTCAAAGCCTCAGTCTGCTCCTCTGTGAAATGGGACCCCAGCTCCTCCCCAAGTGATGCCGGGGAGGCGAGGGGTCCTGGCAATCTCCGCTGGCGATGTGCCGGGCCCCTCCCCGGCATCTTTTCCCGCTGCCTCTGTGGTTTTCTTATCTCTTCCCAGCAACGTCGCAGCTGCTGCGGGCCGGATCCAAGCAGCTTATTAATAATCAACTTTTATTGCTCGTCACATCGCCAGCACGTCTGCAGATGGCCAGGCGTGGCGGTGGCAGGCGGGTGACCCGGCCAACGATCCTTTTGTCCTCGCAGCTCCTCCGCTCAATAAGGGTTTAGGTGAAGTTTGAGAAGAACCGAGCGATGGGAAGTGCCGAAGGACGTGACACCCGGTTACACTTCCCCAGGCCGTGACTCACGCCAGCTCTGCAGACATTCTCACGCCGAATCTGAAGCAGAGGGATGGTGCCATGCCCGGAGCTCCTGTCCCTTGACTGGGGGGTGGCTTTGCCCACCCCGGACTCCTCCAGCCACGTTAGAGGCAGCGCTGGGTCAAACCCATCGTTTGCTGCCTCGCTGCTTTCTTGTGTACTTCTCCTAAGGAAAATATTTGGAGGAGTTGTTTTTAAACACAAATCCTGCACTTCCTGGGAAAACACCCTCCTGAAGGGATGTTTGCAAACGGCCTGGGAAGCGTTTGAGCTGAGGGATGCTGTAAAGGGGAAAAAAAGTGAGGAGGGGAAGAGAATCTGGGGGAAGAGGCTAGAAACAAGTAGAGATGAAATTTGGGGGTTTTCAGGGGAGCTCTGGAGAAACCCTGCCTGTCCCCATGGGACACCCTGTGGGACCTGCTGGTTTTTTAGGGTCTCGTGCAGGGTCAGCCCCAAGGCGGGTGCCCAGCTCCAACGCCCGTGGCCTGAGCCCCTATGCGGACACGGGGCGATGGCCAGGGGCAGCGGGGTGTCTTTGACATCCCACCCAGGGAGAGCCCTTGGGAGGAGCCCACAGCCCAAATATGACTTTAGGGGGGGCTGCAGCTGCTGGTACCTCCTGCAGCAGCCCCACAAAAGCCCCTGTGCTCCGGGCACACCTCCAAGGGGGCTGGGGCTCCTTGGTTTGGGGTTTCCCCCTCCTTTATGCTTCTCTGTGGATCTGGACAAAGCCCTGCATTCCCCCCTCCTCCTTCCTGGTGGGATACAGGCTGCTGGGGCCCCCTGGACCCCACACCTCCTCCCAGCAACAGGAGGAGGGGGATGAGGAGGGGGGCTGAGCCTCCATCCCTGGTTTCCGCACCACAACAAGGCAGTGATTGGGCACCCGTGGGCTCACCCAGCACCAATGGAGTCTTCTCCCTTTTTTGGGGGGAGAAGCAGGGCAGTGAGTTGCACTGACCCTCTGCCCCCTCACCTTCACCCCTGTGGGATGCAGAGCCAGTGTCCCAGCTGGTGTAAATCAGCAATCCCAGTCGCCCTGCGTGGATAAAGCAGCTGCTGGAAGCAGCATTGGGTGGCTGTTTCTCCTGGGCTTTGCTCTGCTGCCATCAGACCCTGCTGCTAGGTCCCTCCTCAAGGTGATGGGCTGGGGCCTCCCTACAAACACCCCCTGGACCCCCAGTCCCTTTGGCTCCTGTGGGCTGGTGTTGATTTGGGAGGGAGCGTGGATGCTCTGGGGCAAAAACCTGACCTGGGAACATGGAGCGGTGCATGCCGGTGCCTGGGCAGCTCCGGAGCATGGGCGGGAGGGTGGTGCTTGGTTGGTTTTGTAATTTTGCAAATGTCCTCTCCTGCTGCTTTTGAAGAGCATGGAGATGTGGTGTGGGCTTGGGTGCTGGCAGTCCTGTCCCTGTCCCCCTCCCGCCCGACCTGCTGGACCCTGCCGCAGGGAAGGAGGCGGCTGATGGCAGAAAGATCGGAGCAGGTCCCAGATGCCAACAGGTACCTGCGCTGGAGGTGACCTGCTGCACGTCTGTGGGGGTCTGGGGCATCTTCCCCCTCCGCAGAGCCCACTCCCCCCCGCTGCCAGCCCTGGAGGGAGCCTGGCACAAGCACCGCTTGCCTCTCGCTGTCTCAGAAGCAAGGTCAGGTTTGCTTCCCTCTGAGCCCTTTTTTTTCCCCAAGAGGAGCTGGATTTCACCCCATGTCTCAGCCCAGCCTTGCCCAAGCAAGTACTGACTGCGGTGGGCACCCCTGGGTGCAGGGCAGCTCCCAAACCTGGGTGCTGCTCTCTGGGGATGCGGCCTTGGGGAGAGAAAGCCAGGGCCACCCTTCCAGCCTGGACAGGACCACATGTGACAGCAAACGCCGACATCTAGTGACAGTCCTGGGGTCCTTGGCCAGCTGGGCACGCAGGGGGATCCCCTCGGTTTGGGGTCCCCGGTCTCGGGTGCGATGAGGATGTCCCTGTGCTGCCCTGGGATGTAGGAGAGGATGGGAAGGGGGTGGCCCGAGGGGATGGAGTGGGGTCTTTTGCCTCTTCTCCTGCCTGGCTTCTGCAAGAGCCTTGGCTGGAGTTGGGGGGGCTGCCCATGGCCAGGGACCGCAGCCGGGGGTGCGATGAGGATGTCCTTGTGCTGCCCTGGGATGTAGGAGAGGATGGGAAGGGGGTGGCCCGAGGGGATGGAGTGGGGTCTTTTGCCTCTTCTCCTGCCTGGCTTCTGCAAGAGCCTTGGCTGGAGTTGGGGGGGCTGCCCATGGCCAGGGACCAGAGCTGTTTGAGAACCCCCCCTCCTTCTGCACCCCACGG